GAAATGCAATGACTAACATCCATGCAGTACCCTGCTCATTTCAAACCACTCTGAATAAAACAAGTACTCTTTTCCAGCGTCACGCATGTCCAGGTCGAGGGAAACAAAAATTCCTCCCGATTCATGAAAAGGAATTTCTTTAAATGTTGCCTTTTTCCATAAATAATGTTCCCGATTTTGGATGTTTTCTGTCATCAGTGTCGGTACAACAACAATGAGGTGAAGCAGGACTTGCAAGCTGCGATGATAACTTATGTGGCGGCAGTGTCAACAGGTTAATCAGCAGATCAACGACTGAAATCTTAGGAATTTCATTTTGGTAGGTTGTTAGTGTCTGGTTGCTGAATACAACCAGGGAACAATAACTACAACAATGACAAAGGTCACGACCCAAACAGCCCCTAACAGCCATTAGGAAACTTCATGGAAGAGAGACAGACTTGCTTCAAGTCTCTGTTGGAATACATTAGCTTATTTTTATTCTGGTGTAAATATCCTTACCAGGAATTATATGAGAATGATCTTTTGTATGTCTGTGAATTGATTCTGTTCTTGAAACTAGTCTCAGCAGAATGCATATCTTGTGTTGTTGATGGGGAAAATGTAAGTATTTTTCTTGTGTTTTCATTAGTTTAATGGCAGTCAGCACATTTCAAACTATATCATGGCAGTCAGCACATTTCAAACTATATCATGGCAGTCAGCACACTTCAAACTATATCATGGCAGTCAGCACATTTCAAACTATATCATGGCAGTCAGCACATTTCAAACTATATCATGGCAGTCAGCACATTTCAAACTATATCATGGCAGTCAGTAGACAATCAGCATATATTTCAGCCACAGTACCGCATGAAAATATACTTCACATCTCAAAGGCAGAAAATAAATACATGAACATCTTTCTCAGATAATGTCCGTCTACAAAATAATCCTATGAAGGACAAATTGAAATGATTAAAATATATTTTTAGACCTTTGTTTCCATGGGTTTCTATGCTTACACTAAATTCACCTTATAATATTGAAAGCACATTGGATTTAAGCAGCCATCCAGTCTCAATACAATAGGACAAGGGACAGGATAATACACTGACAATGCTGCTTACAACAGACATACGAAGGATCCCAGCTAAATGAAGGCACATCATACAGCCATTATTACAGTGAATTATGGGTATTATCGAAAACCAGCCATGTCCAGTCAATCCTTGGACTCACTAACAAGGTTCTGCCAATCATGTCTACCAAATATAGGTAATTACAGGGTCTAACTATCTGACACTTGTCAACACGGCCCTACAGCAACTGAACTCAATTGATCTGTACATCCTTGGCAGGCTTTGTGAGCAGAGGCAAGATGACTTCATCAGTGGAGCTAGATGGACTTCTCCAGTTTGACTGGTGCATAGACTTAGGCTTAGTCTCTGAATATATGTAATTTTGAGAGTAACAAACAAGCCCATTTATATTGAAAAGGACCCTAGGGAGACCAGAGATTCTGAACCTGGGGAAATCTAGACTTGCTTCGTTTGGGCTTTAGCACTACAGGGAAGGCTAGGCTGTAGGGAAAATAATGTGGTTCAGGGACTGTGAGACAGACTAACTGGTGCACTGTATCAGTTGATTCTGGCAGTCATTAACATTGTGGTTCTATTTTGAAAATTATGAACACCCTGAAACACCTATCACGAAGAACACAAACAACAAATTACTGCTGACATTTTCATTATAGAATGTTTTGCATACTGGACACAGCTAGTGGGAGGGCCTGGTAGTATGGCACAAGGTGGTTTACATGAACTGATGTCAGGAGTGTCAGAAACTTTGCCAGAGGATGTGATATAACATCATATCAATCAGAGAGTCTACTGGGAGATGTTACATCACTGAGTGTTGACACATACAATGTGTTCTACACCAACCAGGGCACTGGATAAGCCTGTTATGCTATGGCAGAGATGTACTGTTATCCCTATTATAACACAGCAGACTGGTTACCACGGGGACGGACCACCTGTCAATGGCCAGATGGGAGATATCTGGACAGTACAGGGCTTATCACATCTACCAGCCTTCACATCAAGATAAGATGGAGTCTGTCCATTTCTGGCAACATTAATCTGACATTCTGACACAAGCACACAATTCATGAATGATTTCATAAATGATTTGTGACCCAAGATATCAGATATGCACATAAGCCTCTGATGATCAAAACTGACATCCGAAATCCTTAGACCCTTCCCAAATGTTTTGATCAAGAACAAGGGCTCTAATTTTCAACAATGCATTGATGCATTATGACTGACTGACTGAGTTTGGTTTTACGCCGCTTTTAGCAATATTCCAGCAACATCACGGCAGGGGACACCAGAGATGGGCTTCACACATTGTACCCATGTGGGGATTCGAAACCGGGTCTTCGGCGTGACGAGCCAAAGCTTTAACCACTAGGCTACCCCACCGCCCCTTGATGCATTATGACTGTCAATTCATGTAGAGTTGGAACACTGCTAAAACATCAAAACAAAATGTCAACCAAACACAAAACAAAAGAATTGTGAAATACAGAAGCATGCATCAATGTCATGTCATGTCAAAGTAATTAATGAGGGGTTACCTTGGTGTACAACATGAGTGAGTGAGTGAGTGGGTGGGTGGGTGATTGATTGATTGAAGTGAGGGTGCATGAAAGAGTAAGGGAGGACTGAAGTTACAAAGGAAAGAAAATAAGGGACGACCAGACCAAGGTTATAGCTTCAATCCTAATCCTAATGTAGACATATTCCTGTCCAAACCATTATGATCTGCCATAGGTATTCTGGCCTAGTTCTGGGCGTATGTTTGTCCAGCAGCCAGCTGAATCAACACCGTCAGTAGTTGCTCATGATATCAACTTGCCTGGCTTGTTTCCTGTTCCAGACTGATGTCATTCAGGACTGAGTACGTGTGGGTGTACACTGCATTTGCAGCAACATCACAGTGGGGAACACCAGAAACACATTGTACAAATGTGGGCAATCGAACTTTGGCATTTGGCGTGACAAGCAATGCTTTAACCACTAGGCTATCATACATACACCTGAAATAATGCCGTGGATGACTCATATAACCAAGAATGAGTGAGTGAGTGAGTTTAGTTTTACGCCGCACTCAGCAATATTCCAGCTATATGGCGGTTGTCTGTAAATAATCGAATCTGGACCAGACAATCCAGTGAAAACAGCATGAGAATCGATCTGCACAATTGGGAACTGTCGACATGCATCAACCAAGTCGTCGAGCCTGACCACCCGATGCCATTAGTCCGGAAATTAAACAATCACATTTTACAGTACTCTATGTTCCCCATTTTATTTGTCCACCTGGGCCCCGTTTCACAAAGCTCTCGTAGGCCTAATATCTCGTAACTTTTCTCGTAGCATTCATACTTCCTATGTAACAGTATAGGAAGTACGAATGCTACGAGAAAAGTTACGAGATCTTAGGCTTACGAGAGCTTTGTGAAACGGGGCCCTGACCCTCATATTTCACACTAGGGTCCCTGGAGCCCCAGCTGGGGTCACGATAAAACCCTGCAGATGAATATTTCCCTACCATGAAGTGACCAGGAAGTATGTTAATACAGTTTTATGCATCTTTTAGCACTATTCCCGAGCGGCTCCAAAGGTTAGATATTGAGATACATATCCTGCAATGACATTCTGTATCGCTGCAGCCGCCCCAGTCTACCATAAATACCACATGTACCAGATCAGGACCTACAATATGTTCAGATGGGATATGCTTTGGCACATCTCAGACGAAGGATAAGAATTCCTTTGAAAGAAGCTCCAAGCCCTGTGTTCCACTCCCTGCAGCTTGCCTGGGACTAGAAAATGAGGGTTCAATCACACTTCCAACAATGTTTGCTGATAAGGGCCAAGAAAATCACTTTGGGTGTTTGCATCTGCCATACCACTCAACACCCCCCTGAAGCCTAAGGACAAGAATTGGATTCTTTTGTTGGACTTGCTGTCAAGGTTACATAAAGGCTGATGCATCCGCTTGCTCAAAATACTATTAGCTGTTTTGGGGAACATGTATCAAAATCCACCATTTTCTTGTATCCCCTGCTCAGATGATATGATATTTGGGAAAGGTTAATTCAAAGTTCTGACACCATATAATTCTTTCACACAGATGGTCCCTCTGGGAAATATTGAACAGAATTTATTTGACAGTTTCATAAATACCACTTGAATAGGATTCACTGGATACATTTCAGATTCAAAAGTTTGATGGATTGGGTATCTCTACAGTACATCTCCCATGTCCAATTGGGACTTAACATTTACAGCATTGCATGGAACCGAAGCTTCTCTGGGTTCCACAGTTTAGGATATGTGATGCTGTAACTCATTAGTGATAATATCAACTGGGAGCAGCAACCTAATACCAACAGCCACACGTGTACCACAGACACTGGGTTTCCAAACGCAGGCAGTCAAACAAGGATGGTGAAATCTGTGAAAGAATGCTATGCACCTTTACACTTCAATAGGTTGTGTAATTCAGTGTATATTGTTAGGTATAACCTTATGTCATATTACAGGATGATTACACAATGCCATTTAGAAAGTGATCAAATGTAACATAGGTTATATTTGGGATTACACTTTCTTAGTAAATTATAAATTTTAGTACTTTTTTCATTTTTTTATTTGAGCCCCATCCGGGAATCGAAACTCACATTTGACCACTTTCTAAATGGCATTGTGTACCACTTCTTGAACCACAACACAACCATCACACCCTGGTACAGCCCCCACAGAACCAGTGACACATCCAGCAACACCCTGTGTCCACCCTACACAACCAGTGACACAACCATCATACCCTGGTACAGCCCAACACAACCAATGACACACCCATCACACCCTGGTACAGCCCCACACAACCAGTGACACACCCAGCAACACCCTGTCTCCACCCTACACACACTCATGACTTACCATCAAACTTGCGTGTACGTGAGGAGAAGGTGAGCCTGATGATCTTGTACGCCTCCTCCAGCTGCCTGGTGTGATCCTTCTTGCTGAGACTCTGGAGCTTCTCCTCCATTTCCTTCGTACAACATGTCTGCTGCTTCGGGCAGATGTCCAAGGAGGCTCCTGCAACAAAACAGCACCATCAGTATCTCAAACCCATATATCACATCCACATAAATCATCAATGTAGCAGATGGGAACTAACAAGGTCATTAAAAACAAATTCACAGCTTCAATGATGAAATTGTTACATTATAAAACAGTACGCTATATTCAAAGCACAAATCAAAATCACATTCTAGATCCTGAAATGCTACTTCAGGATTATGTATCATTGCTTGTGTGAGTGAATGTATGTTATTTTATGCCACAATTACCAATCATTCTGCAATAGCAAGGTGATCTGTAAATAGCCAATTCCAGACCACCATTCTAGTGGCTAACAGCATAAGCAAAGATCCACACATTGGACAGAGCATCCGCCACAAGAGAGGAAGGCTTATCCATGAACAACTCCATTTAAACTCACTTCATTACTAACATAACAAGACCCCAGTATTTATCAAAATATGTTCAGAAGACATTATTTGTCCCCATACCTGAAGCAACTGTTGGTAAAAATGCCTGAAGTAGAACCAAAATGGCCAAATTATGGTGTGTGTATTGAAAATATACAAAATTAATTCATACTTCTAGTGTTTTTCCACGGGAGCTGGCATTTTCTTGACAACAGGACTTATAAACATGAAGGGGCTTTAATGTTCAGCCCTGCCTTCTTTGCACTGAATACATTAAAACACCTTGAACTTCAAGAGACTAAGGACATATAAGAAAGCCACAGTATTAGAGAATTCTTTTTCCAAATGTAACTGTCCAGGACACTTTGTTAGTTCTCCAAGAAACATCCCTGAGACCACACACTACAGCCCTGGAAACGCTGCTTACAGTGAAACATTTTATTTCAACTTATCCCGCTCCACCTGTAATCAACTATGTAAAGTGTCGTCTTCTCGTATCACCTCCGAAGCTCAATACGTCACGGCCCGACTCAAAGGGACTATCTCCCCTTATCTGTCTTCAGCCATGCAGACAAATTCTCCATGAACATCAATAAAACAGCCATAAAGCCCAACTAGGAATGAATGAACCCTCAACATTCACTGCATCTGTCCCATCGTACCATACCTGAGCCAAAATTTATTTTCTGAAAATGCACTGGAGGAAAGATTAGAGTGTATTCTTCAAGCAATCCGACCACGGCTGCCTGCCTGGCGGCACAAAGACTCCCCCTGGTGACAAAAACATTCTCGGTCGTTCAGAGCCCCACTCAATAACTAAGCAATTAAAATATTAATAGAGTCAGTATAGGTGAGATTTTCTTTAACCACAGAGCACATTTTATGGAATCGTCTATCATCTACAGACATAAAAAGCGATCCTAAGCCACGGGAGCTTGGAAAGCAATTGCATCACTACAGACAGCGGTATATCATTAGGACTCCGATTAAAACATCACCCTATGAAAATTAATATCAAACTAACAACACTCCATAAGAAAACAAAATATGGAAAAACAAATGAGAGTGTGTTGAAATATTTGATGATCTGTTTTTGTTACACAGCTCTGAATTCAGATCAATATTTCCGCCAGACACATCAGAAATGATGACAGCTGATCTTCCCAACATGTAATCCACTCAGAGCAATGAAAGGTCCCTGAAGATTTGTGTGGTAAGAGAAATAGTTTCGGGAGCATTCACTGAACATTAAATTATCAAATCTGGGCAAACAGCTAAAATGAACGGTGAGCTGAGTAACTCACTATTCTGCTGTATTTGGTAACTGTTTCAAGATCATTCGAGCTCAGATAAGATTTCCTCTGGGCATATAAAAACAGCATCAGATACGAAAGACCAGAAAAAGATGTAGCTGAAGCCACAATCACGAGATCCAGACAGTGTAGATACAAGGCATACCATCTTCACAAACATCCACTCTCATTCCAAGACAAACAGTCTCCAATAATTAACTGACCATTAAAATATCAAGTCCATCTAAATGCCCAGTGTCTAGTATGTCCGTCACTTAACAATGTCCATTTGAGAAACATTCTCTACCTCATAAAGCAGCCATAACAATTTTCTCATTTCAAATTTTTCCTATGCTGACAAAGGCTTTAATTAAGATTGATATTATCTGTCAAAGTGATTGACAGCATGGAATGTCCAACAATTCAACAGATCATATCAAATCACTACTCATGCGATAGTGAGTGGTCCCCTATCACAGACTGGGTGCACGGCCAGTTGGCAATATCTGTACCATGAACGTCAAAACGTTAACAAATTCCTACTGGTCATCTGTCGCTGTCCTGTGTGTCCCATGGGGCCTAGGGGCAGCCTGTCACAGGTTGGTCATCATGAGATTAACAAAGAGGCAGGTGAATATGATGAATAACGCCCCCCACCCAGATCTTCCCATATATCAGAACTGTATCTCATTTATATCCTACTGTGATTCATTGTTAGAAGTATTAGCATGTATGGCCATGCTATACGGTGTAATATCTACCTATACAGCAGGCTTGACCAGGTCACAGGAAGCATGACCTGGCTAAATATGTTTCCAGTTTATCACCACTTAGCAAGTCCTTCAGTAATCTCACAATAAATATGGTACGAGCGTGTGAAAACAAGCCCCAATGCACTGCTATCACTATTTAACCCTCCCTAAGCTTTCAAATAAGTCATTATAAAAGAAAAGCAATATATTTGCACACTGTTAAGTCTTACATACCCATATCGTCATTCCATCACTCTAAAATTTTAAATCGAAGCAATTTTTTTGCTTACTATTTCTTATACATAGAATGCAAAACTTCCTATAGTCATTTTCAAAACTACAGCTCTATTTTTGCACACTGCTGTGTTTAATATACTAATACATATATTTTACATCATTATAAAATACAGCAATAGTTGGCATGTTTTAGCTGTATCTGTCAATGTGACATAATAATTTTGCCCCGTCAGTACCATCCATATTGTTGTCAGCCAATCACCTTGCACCTCTCTCACATCTGCCACTTTGATAATGACATAACAAGGTGACAAGTTGGCTGTGCATGTTATAGTCGTTGAAAGCAATTTAATTTTTCTTTTATCACCTTGTTAACATACATGGAATAATAAAAGGAATAAAATAATGGCTATATCTCCCAAACATGTCAAGTTGTCATGAAATGTATAACGTGTTAATTACTATCTTATACACTATTCATATTATATTTTGATACATAAGAAACCTTCACAGAACCATTGCAAACATGATAAATAGAATTTCTTAATATTCAGCATTTTAGTAGGTTCTGCATGCCAACTGAAGTGTGTTTTGTCGAATGAAACTTGAACACTACCATTAATACTTACAAGCAATCAATATTTATGAACAAAGAAAGCCATAAATCTAACACAAATCTATTAACCTTTCACACATTTCAGGCATGGCAGACACAAGTCAATTCCAAATCTTCCACAGTTCACTCATGAATAATCATGAACATTTCAAAATACCCATACATAAATGAGATGGAAACAAGCACTTAAATAAAATAAACAATCGGAATGTCATTTTCAAACTTATAGTCGTTTTGATTATTTATTAATTTCCAGTCATTACAGTGTCGTTCAGTCCTGGATAATGGACTGACTGAGTTTGGTTTTACGCCGTTTTTAGCAATATTCCAGCAATAATGGCTTCAGACATCAGAAATGGCTTCACTCATTGTACCCATGTGGGGATTCGAACCTGGGTCTTCGGCGTGACGAGCCAACGCTTTAACCACTAGACTACCCCAACCCTGGAACACTTGGCACCAGTTAACAAATACTCATTTTCTCTCATGTTTTACTCATTTTATAGCTGCAGAATGATAAATCATGAGAAACTGTTGATTCCAAAAACAGAAAGTCTCAACAATAACCATGTTTAGGTTGATACATATTTGCTGTATATTTTGCATGATGACCAATAGGTACATCAGGCTAACTTGTCACAATGGAAATTCAGAATGACTAGTGAATTCCTGACCCAGAATAAAACCAGTGAGGCTTCATCTTAATGCTGTCATAACACATCCAAAACGTACTGCAGACGAGATACAACAACTGTTACATTTCGGACTACAGTTTCTCAGTAAGGTGAGGTTCTAGTACTGAATCTTGGGTTGAGTCCCAATCAGGATTTGAACCGACGATTTCCAAGGTGGGACTCGAACAAACAAACAGTACTAGAATCTGTAAGTATAAGACTGACTGACTGAGTTTGGTTTTACGCCGCTTTTAGCAATATTCCAGCAACAATATGGCGGGGGACACCAGAAATGGGCTTCACACATTGTACCCATGTGGAGATTCGAACCCGGGTCTTCGGCGTGACGAGCCAACGCTTTAACCATTAGGCTACCCCACCGCCCCGTAAGTATAAGAAAGTGTAATCCCATATATATTTGACCACCTTCTAAAATGCAGACTAGACAGTCAGCCAATGGTATTCACCATGCATGACCACGGTGTGCGAAATAGCCATTGGCCTTCTAGCCTGTGATGAGTGAAAATCCAGTCGGGCCAGTCAATCTCCACAGTCACCTGACTGGTCAGTGAATTTTCATGGGGTCATTTTCTAAATATATCAATCTCCCCAACTTGTTAACTTATAATACACTTTTAAATCATGCAAGATTATGGTCTGATAAAAAGGTTCATCATATTAGCAATAAAATGATGAATGTCTACATTCGAATTTCGGGTTAGTGAATTATTTTGTGAGCTTGTAACTTTCAAGCATAGAGAGCCCGACTGGCTGGCAAAATTTTGAAACAATTTCGCAAACTGCCTGACCACTACTGATTCAAAACACATGTTTTAGTTCAAACATGGCACTTTGGCAGTCAGGAATTTGAAGATATTGCTGAAAGTTAAGCTCAAATGCGGAACTTTCCATAACTTCAGTCTTAGTGCACAAAAATTCAAAAATGAACTGCGGACAAAATAGACTAGGTATTTACTCTGCCTGTCCACTAGTCATCTGAAACCTCACTTTTCGATGAAGTATAGGTGGCACTT